TTCTAGATAGTAGAGAGCGTGAGAATCACATGATCTCGATGACGCAACAATATATTACAAAACTTTTTAAGTTACAGTACTGAACACGAAAATTAGCGAAGCATTGAAATCAAATAGTATTTATACCATTTTCTTAAGCAGTGACTTAAGTTAGCTTTGAGTTACTATTTATACACTAGGGTAAATGCAAGAGGAATTTAGGGGGCATTTACAATGTATTATGGTTTTTATTATGAGTATTTAAGCTTATCTTTAATGAGTCACACTGATATTTTACTCAGAACTAATCAGTAACATATTCAAAAATGTGGGATAATCAAATTTAAAGATTTTGATGGAATTTTCAATGACTAATGAAAAAGATGCTGTGTGAAACCTTGCTTCATTTAATCTAAGGTCAAAGGCCACACTAGCCCTAAAAAAAAAGAAAACTAGAAGGGAAAATAAAAGAATTAAATGTATATTTATGACAACTGCCTGTTGCTAACCAATTTATTTCCGATGACTTAACCTTAGTTCATGATTTAGACAATCGTAGAACTAACAATCGTGTTATGAAGATAAAAGGTGAACGTCTAAAACAAACATAACTGATAATTTTCGGAAACCCTGATTCGTTATCATATTATTTATCACTAAAGTGAGAAGCGTCTATCATCCCTTCGACCGCTCAGTCACAAGCAGCCTTGTCAGCAAACTTCGTTAGTGCTCAGCGAGCATTGGTTGGGCGTGAAGATTGCTAACGAGACTGTTGATCATTTGTCTATAAAAGTCAACTACATAAAAGAGAGTTCAGATTTTCCCTGTTGGATTCTGTTGCCCTTACCATGGCGCTGGGATCCTTCGTCCTTTTCCTGTTGTTACTGGTAGCTGCTTCTGCAGGTAAATATTCGTAAATTAAACATTACGTATAACGTCAAGAAAAAAATTAATCAAAGCAGAGTTTACGTAAACGCGTTTTAAAAGTTTGAAGAGACGAGCTAGTTTTCAGCAAACATTTGGCTACTTGATCATGAACCAATACCTTATTAGACGTAGATGCTATTATATGTATTAAAGTAAGCTAAAATAACCCACAATAAGTTACTTTAAAGACCAAAGTTGATGCATACAAAAACAAACATTTTTCTTTCATTCCTCGTTTAGGACCTGTCAATTGGGATGATTCAAAATGTTCAACATCATGTCGTATACGTAAGTAGTAATTAATTTTTGTTTAGTTTGTAGTTTAAATGTTTTATGATAATGTTATTATTTATGCGTTCTAAAGAAAATATAAGAAAGCGTGTGAATTGTGAGTTGAAATTTGAACTAATTGAAATACGATAGCTTGCACAAAGCAATTTATAGTTCTGTATTTTATTGAAACTCAAAAGAGGTTCAACTTGAATTGGTTAGATTTCCATTCTTAATTTAATTTTTAAAAGATCGGGGCCCGGTATGGCCAGGTGGATAAGGCGCTCGACTCACAATCTGAGGGTCGCGGGTTCGAATCCGCATCCCACCAAACATGCTCGCCCTTTCAGCCGTGGGGGCGTTATAATGTGACAGTCAATCCCACTATTCGTTGGTAAAAGAGTAGCCCAAGAGTTGGCGGTGGGTGGTGATGACTAGCTGCCTTCCCTCTAGTCTTACACTGCTAAATTAGGGACGGCTGGCGCAGATAGCCCTCGTGTAGCTTTGCGCGAAATTCCAGAAACAAATAAAAGATCGGTAAATAAATTACATCAAAATGTGAAAGATAACTGACATTGATTTTCTCAGTGATCAACAAATTAGTTCATAAATAGAAGAAACGTTAATTGGTTGTTGGTATGTTGAGCTATAATTGTTTTATACTGTAGCATAAACGCGAGAGCTTCAGTTTAAAGACGTCATACTGTTATTGAGAAACGTTCTTTTCATTATCCACAAATTATTTTCTTGAGGTGATACTGTGTACTTCTAAAGATAAGTTTAAACCAACACTATGATTCACTACTTGGTTTGACTCTAACAGTTTGCAGTTCAGATCTATTGTTTCTAATATTACTAGTGCCATGTGAAGTTTTCGTTAATTTATTGTTGACCTTTCGATCAGATTTTTCTCGTTCTTCTGTAAGGCTAATTACGAAAATGAAGAGACAATGAGTAGTTAATGCAATGTACGTTTGTTGGTATATGTTGAAATTTATCAGAATGCATTTTTTTTATAGTTAACTGATGGAGAGTTGGAAGTTTTACTAGTTTCTCTGAAAGCTTCTTTAATGTGTTCCAGATATATTCACGTACTTTTGTACAATTTATTCATAGGAGTTCTTAGTCTTTAAAGTCAGTATGTTTGAGCAAACATAATTTTTCTTGTTTGTATTGATATATAAATTAATACATTATATGTATTATGGTCGTTCCATTTTCAAAGTTCCGGGTTCCTGATTTATTCTTTTTCAATTTGTAGGCACTTGTAGATCATTATATGTTACACTGAAATTTCTTAATTACATTTTAATAACATTGTTTATAACTGAAAGTGATAAATCGTTCCGAAGATGTAGCAACAAACCAAAGTTAATGATATGGAGCTTTATCACAATAAACTTTACACATTGTATAGAATCTAACTTTTGACGTAAAATAAGCTAGAATGTTAAACCAAACCAACATCACATTTTTTGGTATTATCTCTAAGGGCAATCGTGAACTTTATCATCACATATTCTTTTGATTTTTAATTTAAATGCTTGATTACATCAGCCATGATGATATTTATCTTTTCGAAGAAACTTTATTCCTTTGAATTCTTTAGTTAAGCTCTTCATTCAATAAACTTTTCAACATCAAATGTTTATATATTCGGATAAAACCGCACTAACAGTGAACAAAATGTAGCTTTTCCTGTACATTGTAATAACATATCTACTGCTGTTCTTTCACTGCATTGGTCAACGTCTTGAACATTGCCCCTCACATAAGCATGAACGTTGAAGGACAAAACACTTAATATCTGACCACACTCTGTTCACGTGCACTTATTGAATAGACTTGATACCCAGTTTCCAAAACATGACCTAACAGTGATAAGATATCAAGTTTGTTCAGCAAAGGTATTCCTCATTAATCTAGCAGTAACCTCGGCTTTATCTTTATCAATAATTATAATTGTTATACTCTGCTTGGCAATTTCACACAAAAACAATTCTGTCATTAAAAATATATAAAATTGTTTAATCAAATAATGGATGATCAGTATTTTGAAATAGATAAAAATAAGTAATGCAGAACAAATTAGAAGATACAAACATAAATAGATAACGGTATGTATGGTAAAAATCTATATTCTTTAGGAAGATGGTAAGATTTCGTCTCTTTGTTATAAAAAGTGAACACAGTGTAGTCCATAAAACTTCTTAGTATGAGTTTAAGTACAAAGGAAGGAAGAGTAACTTTAGGAACATTTTAGAAACATAAATAGATAACGGTATGTATGGTAAAAATCTATATTCTTTAGGAAGATGGTAAGATTTCGTCTCTTTGTTATAAAAAGTGAACACAGTGTAGTCCATAAAACTTCTTAGTATGAGTTTAAGTACAAAGGAAGGAAGAGTAACTTTAGGAACATTTTATCTAAGTCTAATTATAATATTTCTTTTCTATCGCTTTAACTGAAAACCGTTTGAATGCGCTATATTAAAACGATTTTGAATATTCAAATCGGCAAGTCATGCAACAACCACAGCCAATTTAAAGCCGCGGAGGAAGAACATTTTGGCATTGTTTTTCCAAGTTCTATCGCAGCCGTGACGAGAAAAGTGTGGCATCTTGTAATACGTGGAAAACCACGAACACGAGGGTCAGTGGTAAAAACTGTTCACCTGTCTAGGCAACAGTGTGCAACATAATCAAAGAAGATCTCCTTTGGAAACGAAGTCCACACGATATGGATTCATCAAGATAAGGTTTCCAGTCACACCTCCTGTTCAACCATCAAATACTTCAAGCAACTGGAGAACGAATCGGGGGTTCATACTCTTACATACGAAAACGTATCAAACACCAAACGCAGTACCTATGGATTTCTCTGCAAGCTGACTGTTGAAACGGGCAATACGAAACCATCCTCTTCATATACTAGATGTATTATGAAAGCAAACAGGGAGATGTACTATGCTTTGGACATGACAGCCTTACGATGGAGCCTTTTCTAGTTGAAACTACGCTGCAGGTTTTTTTTTCAAGATGTATCTTCGTGAGGTGGTGTATGACGGGTGACTAGAAGTGGCGACATGGAAGATGATTCTCCAGAATCGTTTTAATATAAAGCACTAAACTCTCCGTAAAACAGGAAATATTTACTCGTCTTTTGTATATCCATCATACTCTTAAATTCTGAAGGAAAGTTTCTAAGAAAAATAACTCACGAATATCTCAGTATATTTTTACATAATTATCAATGACCTTTGATCAATGCAAACTACTTAAACAAAACATTACTAAGTATTAACTCAGAATATAATGTAGCTAATCAAACTTACTGGATTGTTTGGTTGTCTGTTATTGAATTTCGCACACAGCTACACTAAGGCTATTTGCGCTAGCTGTCCCTAATTTTGAAGTGATAAACAATAGGGAAGGCAGCTAGTTAACACCACACACCGGTAACTCTTGAGCTATTCTTTTACCATAGAATAGTAGGATTGACCGTCACATTATAATGTCCCCATGACAGAAAGGGAGAGCATGCTTGGTTACGGAATTCGAACCAGTGACCCGCAATATACATACATATATATATATATAAAA